TACCATGGACTTTTTCACGTTCTTGTAGTATGGGTTCCATCCTATGCTCACCACCATTTTATGGACGGCTCCACTCCCGACACTGGCCCAACCATAGTAAATGCCAGTGGATATATCAGCCGGAAGACTGTCTACTACTTGTTCTGGAAAATTGGCTAAATAGAAGTAAACAGACACTCAGTATAACAAGTTTCATATTAAATACTGATTAAAATCACATTAAAAGGTTAGCCTGAATCTTTATACTCCGACTTCCAGGATCTTTTCTAAGACTTCCAATCCAACCCTACATATTCTGGCTTGGATTTCCCCTCTTCGGGCGCACAGGTTAGGAATGAAGCACAAGGCTTCATGAAAATCTCAGAAAAGGTAGACGGAAATGTACAAGTGCAAAGAAACACGTAAAATAAACCGGGAGGTTCATCGGAGATTGCCCATATCTCTAGTCACTCAGGAGGCTACAAGAGATCTCCCCAAGCTCAGGAGTAGGAGGCAGGTGGGAAACGGAGCGAGACCCTTTCTGTTAGAATTAAAAACAAAGTCCCAGCGCTTTCCTCGTAACGCTCCTAGTAGACTAAGCAGTGACTCATAATAAGAAGATTATTATTTTCAAAATACACAAACCCAAACCTCAAACTGAAAGATCGATTCAATGGGTCTAGAAGCAGTCCGGATATCATCTTTAAGGACGGGCAGTTAGGTCTTAACTACTAAAACTTACGTAGTCAGACCAAATAAACGTTGGCTTTCATAGAACTACCGGTGTTGTCATTGATCACCACACAGAAACATTTGAAGAACAGAACTTTCAACAGTTTGAGAGTTCGGCCAATCAACCTGCAGTACCTTCCCAGACTAGGCTCCGCAGCTCGGCGTTAGCGGACCGCGGCTACCTGGGTCCCCTGCCCCACGACCCATGACTCCACGGCCACACAGTCCCACGACGAGCTCACCTGTGGGGATGCCCAGCTGCTTGGAGCCGCGGCCAAAGCCATGCACCACCTGGCCGCGGCAGAAGAACGGCAGGCTCCTCATGACGCCAACCTCGGGGGACTCGGGCTGCTGCTCGCTCCGCGGCTGCGGCGGAGCCTCCGTGAGTGCGTCGCCTGGGCCCGGGCCAGCCGGGGATCCTGCAGAAGCTGGGCTGGCGGAGCGGGACACCCACCGCTACCGGTACCTGCCGGCAGAGCAGCCTGCGCCGCCAGAACTCAGAGGACGCTCCGCCGGAACTGCGACAGCCGCGACGAACCTACTCGGCTTCCGTAGCGGTCCCGCGGTAGCCCCGCCTCTGCTGTTGCGGCCCCGCCCAGAATCCTCGCCCAGCCCCGCCCCCCGCCCCGCCCCGCCCCGCGTCGTTGTGGCTGCGACCCCTTCGTTCATGGTCTAGCCCGTGACTAAGGCCCCGCCCAGCGGCGCTGTGGCCCCGCCCCAGTCGCGACTCCCTCCCCTGCCCCCTCCGTGCCTGGTCCAGCCCCTGCGGTTGCGGTCCCGCCCTTGCTGTTGTGGCCCCGCCCTCACCCGTGATCCAGTCTCTAATTGCCTGCTTTTCACCCTTTTTAGACTGGGCTAAGGTGAGATAAGCGTTGCCCACAAAAGAGTTTCAGTTGTTCTGTTTTTCTCCACAATTTTGCATAAAATTCTCCCCAATCTTGGCAGCTGTTTCTTTTCCCTTACTTGTATGTAACTCTGGGAATGTTTCGCTGATGTTAAGAATGTTTTCTCTCTATTGGTACAAAGGGGACCTTCCTAGTAAAGTTTTGTTTCCTTGATGCTGGTATACTAACACGAATCTGATTGTGAACAATCAGTTGAGATAACACACTACCTTGGGACCAGCATAAAATAAGTGTTTGTAGAAAGATCAAAGCACACTGCAAAGTAGGGAATTAAGGCAACTAACTCTAACCCCAGGCTGCAGGGGAAGCTGACACAGTAAGCCATCTAACAGAAGACAAGTTTAAAAGTTTAAAAGACTGGCCATGAGTTTATCACTGCAGCCCTAGATAAACCAGAATTTGAACGCAGACTCTGCGACGGTGAATAGCTGATGTATGAAAACTGCTTAACAAATTACCTCCCGAGTGCTGAGATTGAAGGTCTTCCACCCCACCGAAGGCATACCACCCCACCCCCGGTTTAAGGCAGACAGTTTTTAAAAGACAAATTAGGCAGGGTATGGGGCCTAACGCCTTTAGTCCCAGCACTCTGGAAGCTGAAGCAGGATAATCTCTGAGTTCAAGGATAGCCTGGTCTACAAAGTGCCTGGGCAGCCAAGGCTACAGAGAAACCCTGCTTTGTGGTGGGTGGGGGTGAGAAAATAGATAATGCTAAATATGTATCATAGTATCTCATCTAATCATTACATGATCATTGGAGAAAGTATTCATTGCAATTTATAAAGAAAGTGGGAGAATTTCTAAGAGGAAACGGTCACGTCCTCCATTTCCACCACCTCTTCTGCCTTTCCTCCTTTTCTTTCTTTCTTTCTTTTTTTTTTTTTTTTTTTTTGAGACAAGGTTTCTCTGTGGCTTTGGACCCTGTCCTGGAAGTAGCTCCTGTAGACCAGACTGACCTTGAACTCACAGAGATCCACCTGTCTCTACTCCCCAAGTGCTGAGATTAACAGTATGTGCCACCACACCCAGCAAGGTCCATTTTCAAGTTGCTCTGGATATGCGTTCCTATGGAGACTTACTGTATACTAATGCAGGTATGGAAGAGAAAATGCTGATGCTTTTCCATCACGTCTCTGTAGCCCTCCCTTTTAGTCAAGAGTAAAGTTACCCTTCAGGTTTCTATGTCTGCTCAAAGCTTTAGGTAGTAATCAAATCTGAATCCATTAATGTCACTTCAAAATGGAGGGGAGGGGTGCTTGCATATACTCAGATGTGTAGGCCATGTGATTTATTGTTGTAGAAGGTGCAAGCTGCATCTCCCCCCCACCCCCCGCTGCTAGCTTAACCCCTGAAGTAACCACACAGAAACTGTATTAATTAAATTACTGCTTGGCCCATAACCTCTAGCCTCTTATTGGCTAACTCTCACATCTTGATTTAACCCATTTCTAATAATCTGTACGTCACCACAAGGTCGTGGCTTACCCGGAAAGATTCAGCATGTCTGACCTGGCAGCTTCATGGCGGCTTGGCTCGATCTGCTGCTTTTTTCCTCCCAGAATACAGTTCTATCTTCTCTGCCTACCTAAGTTCTGCCCTACCAGGCCAAGCAGTTTCTTTATTGATTAACCAATGAAAGCAACACAAATACAGAAGGACCTCCTACTCATTAATAGTGTTTCAATTCATTTGGTCCTTAAGAGATACATCACTGAGCCTCTTTGATTACCATTTCTTGTGCAAATCTAGAGTTGGGAGAGAGAATGTGCTTGTAAGTTTAGTGCTTTTAAACATGAAAATGTCCAAAATATTCTTATTCCCCCTTCTGAATTGTGCTTACAGCTCCTGGCCAGCCTCTGACTGAGTTATGTCTTCAGGAAAAAGGCCACAGTGGCAGTAAACTGGGAAGTGAAGAGGCCTAACTTAACATCAGTGCAGCCATGACAGGCTACAGACTAACAGCACTGGGACTAAGCCTCACCATAACAATAACCAGGAAAAGCCACAGGCTGTACTCTATGGGCAACCAACCAGAATTGAGACAAGTACTAGATGCTCCAGAACATTAAGACTAGCTTACCTAACGTGTATATAGATTGCCAATTTCCTTACAGCAATGCCAGTTCCAATCCCTGTTTGGCAAGACTTTTGTTACCTCGCTCCTGTCCAATCAGGAGTTTAAGCCCCCTTCCCCCCCCCATCCCTTAAAAACCCTGCTATAGCTGAGCTCCATGCTCACCCTGATCCAACTGCTGTGTTGAATGGACAGAGAGTCCAGGCTTAGACTTGCAATAAAGGCTCTTTGCTTTTGCATGCGAACCTGGACTCCTGATGGTCTCTTGGGATCACAGAATGTGGGCATAATAGGACATAATGAAGGAAAAAATAGTCTACTGTCAATGACCCATTTAAAATCAATCTAAAGAATGGTTTATACATGGTGAGACCTTGTCCCCAAAACAAACAAACAAACAAATAAATGAAAAGAAGACAACACTACACACCCATCCAAATGGCTAATCTCTAACATGCTGATGATATTAACTACTAGGATGTGAAGGGCAAGTTCTCTCACCCAGCGCAGATGACAATACAAAATGGGGCAGCCATTCCAGCCAGGCGTTGGTGGTGCACGCCTTTAATCCCAGCACTCAGGAGGCAGAGGCAGGCGGATCTCTCTGAGTTCAAGGCCAGCCTGGTCTACAAGAGCTAGTTCCAGAACAGGCTCCAAAGCTACAGAGAAACCCTATTTTGAAAAAACAAAAACAAAACACCCCCCCAACAAAAAAAAAACAAAATGGGGCAGCCAATTCCAAAGACTCCAGGTGGTTTATAAAACTAAACCTTCTTTTTCTATAAAGTCTATCAGCTAGGCCAGCTGTGGTAGCATGTGGCTGTACTCCTAGAACCTAGGAGGCTGTGATGGACAAATCTCAAGCTACAGGCTAGCCTTTGAGAGCAGGCATATGAAATTCTGCCTTTGACAGTAAATGTATAAAATCCTCCAAGAAGTCCTTGTATGAATAACACAAGATATTTTACGTATTATATAAATAGACTTTGTGGTTCAAAGTTACAAAATGTACTTTGGCAATGCACATTGGGTCAGTGAAAACACATTAACATGAACACTGTGTGGGGGTGGGGAATAGATAATAAATTTTTTCTTCAACCCTCTGAGTTCTTATTTTGAATGGACTCCAGCAACAAAAGAAAAATCAGTAAAACCAAAACAACTGGAGGCTCACTGGTGTAAATGCTCTTCGTGCACAGGGGGATCCCAGGGAAGAGGTCATTTCCAGAGAGGTGACTCAGATGGCCACCTGATGCAGATCTTCACTAGACAACAGTAAATGTTTAGGAAAAGGACAGGACAAAGGAGAGGACTTTCAAGGATTTATTGTCTTTTTTGTTATCCGAGACAAACTTTTAACCTGCTTGTTAACCTAGAATAACCTGGGCTCAGGCTATTCGCAAACTCCAGCTCCTTGCCTCTTCCTCATAGGGGTGCTGAGATGGGAGGCATGCAGCATCAGGCCAGGTGAAGAAAAGGGTTCAGTGTCTCTAAGGTGGGGAGTCCTGGGGATGCAGGCTAATGACATCCGGGCTTGTTGGTAAAGTTGGTTCCTAAAGTTTCTTCTGGGTCCATGTCTGGGCTGGCATCTTCAGGGATGAACTTCCTGGAAGAGAGAGGAGGAGGGTGTTATGCCTAGATTGCAGAGTCCCCCAAAACCAGGGGAGACTGAGTTTCATATGTAAAAGCAAAGAGCCTTTATTCTTATTCAAGTTTGAACTCGGATTCTCTGTGTTTCCAACACATTGGCACAATCAGAGAGCCTTGAGCTAAGTTAGGGTGTGACTTTTATCATAGCAGAGGTTGGGGTGCGGGATTTCTAAGGTTCAGGGCCTCTGATTGACTGACATTTGTCTAGGGGTATCCTGGTGAGTATGCTGGGCCAAGGGACATCAGGTGATCCTATCTATAATGGTTGGAACATTAGATATTTCCTTTGGAACATTAGGTGTTGTGCCCGCGTCACATGGAACCCCCAAACAAGACCACCACAGTGCTGGTATCGAATGCAAACACACTGGCATTTATTGAATACAAGCTAGCTCAGACTGTAATCCAACACACCGACACAGCAAGTGGGGGAAAACAGCCCTGAACCCTCAGGATAAAGGGGTTTTTAAATGAAAAAAACCTCAATCAGGGTGTCAGCAGCCTTGACATTTCGGGATAGGGTACAGGTATACAACCTTTGAATTTGCTGGTTGGAGTATAGGGGAATTTTAAAACAGTGAATGTCAGCAGACAAGAATTTCAAAACAACGGTTGATCAGATACCCACATGGACATTTGGAGCAAACAGATGTTGTTTGGACACCCTAGTGGGGTCACTTTGACCAGGGCAGGCACAGTCTCTTGGAAATATTTATGACTTTATTGGGGCTGCATTTACCCTCCTTAGTAAAACCTTGTCTAAAATGGAGTTCTCTCTCAAAATGGAGTTTATTCTGCTCCTTCATAGGTACTTTCTCCTTGGATGGTGGTGCCTGGGTGGTCTCTGTTGAGCCTGTTATGGCTGGGTCCTACAGAGGACACGTTTGTCATTGTATCTTTGAAGGCCAAAAAATGCAGGCCCATTTCCACCTTGTCTAACAGTCAGAGAATTTTGGAGACTAACAGGCATAATTGTACCTTCTAACTCAGGAGGTGGTTGCCTAGCTCTTTTGAAGTTAAGATAGCTTGGTGCCACTCTGACAGATGGTCAGTATATGCAAATATACTTCTGCTCCTTCTATTGTTACTATGAGGTCACCTAGGGAAGGCCGGTCTTCAGCGGAAGTGACTTAGAACACTTTAGCTACCTGGAGGACAGAATGCTAAGGATTTGACGTCTCAGAGTGATGATGGCCACTGACTATGTGAGTTATCCTCTTGTATCATGTTGATAGAGTCTTTTGTTACTTTCTCCCCAAGTTTACAGTGGGCATAAAAGCTGTGGAAAAATAAACACCAGGTAAATTTCAGTATTTCAGACTGGAAAGTCCTCCCAATATTTTCTGTGTTTTCTGTATTATTATTTTTATGTGTCTTCGTATTCGCTACTTATATTTCTTCAATTCCCACACCCCTATTATGGTAAGAAGTATTTTTGTTGAGGCAGGTCCTTGACAGGAAGGCAGAGAAAGTTTGCTCTTAGCTCAGGTGATTTTTTTTAAAGAATTAATTTTTTAAATTATGTGCATGTGTATGTCTGTGCGTGTGTAGATGCGTGTGTTCAGCTAGAACCTCCAGCTCGCCCCTGCATGATCCAGAGTCCCATTCCTGTCTCTCCAAACCACACCCACTCAGAGGATCTCTGAACAAAAGGAAGGCACCAAAAAGCCCAGTTCCACATTCTTGATGGGGCCTGTGGGTGTCAGAGGCATCAGATCCTCTGAAGCTGGAGGTACAGACAGCTGTGAGCTGATAAAGGTTCTGGGAACTGAGGTCAGGTCCTCTGAAAAGCAGTACCTACTCCTAACTCCTAGGTGGTCTCTAGCCCATCTCAAATAATTTTTATGTCAAAAAAGTATGGCTACCTATTCTGGTTTCCTTCAGCAAACACTAGGAACCTAAATTTAGTTCATAGCTCAGGAAATGTGTGTGTGTGTGTGTGTGTGTGTGTGTGTGTGTGTGTGTGTGTGTGCGTGAGTGTGTGTGTTGTGGTAGTTTGAATAAGAATGGCCCCCATAGGCATTTAATATATTAATAAGAATGGCCCCCATAGGCATATATATGCATGAGCTTTCCCATCCCATGGAATCCTTTTTTACTTATTTTATTTATTTTTTGCTTTTTTACTAATTTATTTTTATTTTATTGCACTGGAGTTGGGTTTCCTGGAATTGAAGTTACAGACAGTTGTGAGCTGCCATGTGGATGCTGGGAATTGAATCCAGGGCCTCTGGAAGAGCAGTCAGTGCTTTTAACCTCTGAGTTATCTCTCCAGCCCAGGCCTGTATATCTGAATGCTTAGTCACCAGGGAGTGGAATTTTTTGATAGGATTAGAGAGATTAGGGAGGAAGTGTGTCACTAGGAGTAGACTTTGAAGTTTCAAAAGCCCATGCCAGCCAGGCCCAGGCTCTCTGCCACTGCAGGTCAGGATGCAGCCCTTGGCTATTGATGTAGTTCTGTGAGTGCCACCATGCTCCTGCCATTCCCCCTGCAATGATGATAATGCCCTAAACCCCTGAAACTAAAAGCAAGTCCCTAATAAAACGCTTTCTTCTATAAAGACCGCCTTGGTTACGGTGAACAGTGACCGAAACAGCTGTGAAAATTACGTCCATAGCATATTTTAATGAAATTTGGATCAACTGTATTTGTAACTTCGTGAATCACACAGATTTATTTTCTAATTCTTTTTTTTTTTTTCTAAGACATGGTCTCTTCAGGCTGTGGTGGAGCACACCTTTAATCCCAACACTTGGAAGGCAAAAGCAGATGGATCTCTGTGAGTTCAAGGCCAGCCTGGTCTACAGTGCTAGTTCCAGGACAGCCAGGACCCTCCACAAAGAAACCCTGTCTTGGAAAAAAAAAAGGAGGGGTCTCACTGGCTGACCTGGAATTTGTTACATAGACCCGGGTGGCCTTGAACTCATAGACGTCTGTCACTTTCTGCCTCCCAAGTGCTGAGATTAAAGGTGTGAACTACCACATCCTGACTAGATGGAATTTTTTTAAAATCTAATCTGAGACTACTATTGTCCAAAAAGAAGTTAAAACTGAGATCCTAGGACCTGCTAGACCCAGAAGACCATGGATACTATGACAAGGCCTTTGGCAATGGCCTTGTCACCCATGCTGGGAAGCTAATAGTTCCCTGTTTCTGGCCAACTAAATCTATAGTGAGATGTTTATGGTTGTTAAATAAACCCCTCATGTGCAAGAGGCTAAACTGGCAAGGACACTAATGAATAATTGTATAATCTGCTGGTCTGGGCTATAAACCAAAGTTTATACTTCCTCACAGAACATTAGTCGTCTCTCTGGGAGGTCCTAGTGTCAAGCAGGGCCTGAAGGTGACATCTGTCCTGCCTTAAAGACTGACGCAAAGAAGTCCGAAACCCCTCCTTTTCTTCAACCTGCTGCTTCAGTGGGGTATACTTCAAATCCGGGGTGGGGTGACTACCCCAATTCTCACCTGAGCACTGAAGGGGTTGGGCACACAGTGTTCTTTGTGTTTGCTTCTTCGTGTGTTTGTTTTCCCCAAATGGTTGGTTGTGCGTGGGGGCGTGGGGTGAATGAAGGGGGGAAGTGGATACAGTTTGAAATTCTTACCTAAGAAACCCCAGGCAGTCCATTCTTCGTTTATCCACAAGGTGGCAGACTACTACTCTTTAAAAGACAGTTTCAGAGAAACTCAAGAGGAACATCAAAGCCAGGGAATTAGACAGCCTCCGCCAGGCGAAGTACCACGTTGACCATTCTGTCCTGAGGAAAGTTGGCAAGCAAGTAGAACTGGGTCTTTAGTGAGGTACAACCCTCACTCTCTGCCTCCCTAAATGGGCAATGTTGGTTTAGTTTGACTGGATTTGTTTGGGAATATTTTTGTTGTTTGTTTTTGACAGAGTCTCACGTAGTCTGGGTTGTCTTCAAACTAAATACGTATCCAAGGGTGACCTACCTACTCCTGATCCTGTGGCTTTTCCTCCTGAGTGCTGGTGGTTAAATCCAGGGGGTTGTACATACTAGTGAAAGACCCCCAGTGTGGGGAAACTCTCACTCAAGTCTCGGGACAACAACCCACCTCCCCCCACCCCCCACCCCGTAACTTGACTTGCGAGAGACTGTCGTTGCTACAGTCACACAAGGTTTATTTGACAGGACAGGAACCAGTGTACTGGAGCCAACACTCATAACTTACGCAGGGGAAGAGTTCGACCTCGAGTAACTGGGAGAAGGGGTTTTTAAGGGAAGAAATCACAACCCAGTAATCCAAAGGGGGTAGGGAGGGCGTCATTGAAAATTCCGAAAATACCAATGATAATCACAAGAGGGTAACTCCCTGTTTCTCAAGATTATTCTCAAGATTATAATCTAACTTTATCTTCAGCTAGTTCCTGAAACAGAGTCACTGAACCTAGATTTTTGGTTCTATTTTTCCTGCTATAGGGGTCTGGATTTATCCAGGTCTTTCACTAGACCACTCTGTGACTCACTCTGGGAGCTGAGCAAAGCCAACCGCCCTTTACTCTTTTTGTTTGGTTGTTTGGTTTTTGGTTTGTTTTATTTTTCTACATGGGGTTTCTTTGTATAGCTCTGGCTGTCTTGGAATTCATTCTGTAGACCAAGCTAGCCTTGAATTTAAAAACATCTGTCTGTCTCTTAAATGTACAACATTTTGTTTGTTTGTTTGTTTGTTTGAGAGAAGGTTTCTCTGTGTAGTCCTGGCTGTCCTGGAACTCACTCTGTAGACCAGGATGGTCTCGAACTCAGTGATCTGCCTGCTTCTGCCTCCACAGTGCCGGGATTAAAGGCTCATGCCACCACAGCCCAGCTCCCTTATAGTCTTGATGCTGCATTTGAATATGTATTTCACAGAGAAAAATAAGATGTGGTAGGCAAAGAGAACCTAAAGTTACACAGAGAGTGTCTTCTCTATTCAGGAAAATAGATAGATAGATAGATAGATAGATAGATAGATAGATAGATAGATAGATAGATAGATAGAT